AATTTCATTGGTCGACGTAAGTCAAGTAATTGGCGAGAGTAATCCAGCGTTTTGATTGGTTGTTCGTTTATCGGGGGAGACTTCAGCGGGGGGATGATGTTAACCGAAAAATCAACTTCGAACGGCCTAATTAAAATTTAAACAATTACTAGCGCTAGTGTTCGAAAAGTTAAATCGGATCGGATTCAGATTTTGATCCGATCCCAACTGCGGATCAGTTTTGTCCAGAAAATTCGGATTGGACTGGATTGGGCCTAATTAGGGTAAAAAAATTTTCGGATCAACCGTCGGATTAGCCCGGATCGCTCCCGGATCCAATCCGATTTTGGATTCGGATCAATTCCGGATCAACCGGGATTCAGTATTTAGATTAGATAATATGTTGATATATGCGAAGGTTGATGACAAAGAGGTAATTATTTATATAATCTGAATTCAATTTTTATTAATGAGATTGATATTGATTCATAATGGGGATATTAGTGAAGATAGATAAAGATACAGCATTAGTTTAGCCAAGTCAACTAAGTAAATTAAACAAAAATGCCGGGGACTCTTCAAGAACACGGAACCCAGTGATTATCACATCACATGTGAAATTACTCAATGACTCAATGACTCATTTGTTTACTAGCATTATAAAATTGGCCTAAACTATCCCATCACTTAACTCTAACACTAACCCTAACTTAGACCGAACACTTAATCATGTGATGTGATGAGCACGAAAATATCACTGGGTTCCTTATTCTTGAAACTACCCCGAATATTTGTGGCCTAATTTTAAACAAGTACATACATACATTCATAAAAGTATTTTAAAGCCAAAATTAGACTGTAGTCAGTAAGTTTTAATAGAAAAAAAATTTACCATCGTTATAACAGCATAAAGAAAGTTGACATAATTTAGAAGATTTTTTCCATATTTTCGTGCACGCAGTACGCAACACAAATAACACAAGTAAATATTTTAAAAAAAAAAAAAATTGATGGCGAAGCATAATTGAAAATTTACTTTATAATTTCTAAATAAAGATGATAAAATTGAATTTAAATCTTTCTTCTGCATTACATTACTATCTTTATACGTAACGAACTGAATATTTTCGAAAAAAGTTTTTCCGACTTACTATACATTTTGTACATATGGGCTAGGTGCTGGAAAAAGGACCGAAAATGACAATTTTTTCAAAATAGATTTTTTCGCATAAATCAATTTAGAATAAGGCTAGGATCTTTTTTTACTTAAGACACAAAGATAGTTGTGTTAATAAAATTTTGCAGTATAGTTCTTTAAAGTTTGTGTTTTCTTATAATCAATTATAAGATTTACAACACAAAAATTGATTTTCCGAAGATCTTTTATTTTGTTATTTTCGGTCCTTTTTCCAGCACTCAGCCCATATGACGAAGAAAAAAATACGTACGTACGTACATATGTATATGTTTCATATGCGCATATATGCACATTGCACAGGGTTACAAGAATAACAAAAAAATGCCAAGAACATTCTATGTATGCATACGCCACCTATCATTAGCCAATAATCATTGTCAATGATAAACAAAAATATCATCATGCAGCTTATTTTTGATTGACAATGGAATAGTGCATCCATTTTATAAACAACATTTTTCAAGTTTGATCGTAAAAAAATTTTATAAAAAAATATTTTCATAAAAATTAGTGAAAAATGTCTATAACATATGACTTTCCACCCACATTAAGTCCACTAGTTTATATGACAATTTTCCATGTTCCTCTTTTTGCATTTATTTCCTTATCTCGCAAACCAATAACTAGCAAACGACGCACTTTCGTACTTTGTATTATAATCCTCGTTCAAGCAATGATTCCCTTCATATATCATGGAAGATATGAACCACTAATGAATTTCATTATAGCATTATTAGCGACACTATACACATTCAAAATGATGGTATGGCTGAAAAAAAATTACCAATCTTCTATCGATTCAAAAATTAAAATTCCTTCATTCATCGCTTCTCTATTCAATTGGCGTCCTGATGCGGTAACAATTCCTGATGAATCAAAATATCAAAGATACATTGATTCTATTAAAGTTACAGATATTAATCAAGTGATAATTAACCACACAATTGAAGCTATTATAAAATTTTTGATTATAGATCTTATATCTGATTATTTAAGGATTAACAAACCAGAATTTTCAGAAAGATCATATGGATTACGAGTTTTAGATTATCTTAGGACTGGACGTCCATTTATTGAAATATATACCTTCTTTTATTGTATTCTTTTTATAATTGTTGCAATTATATCATTTTTGATATTTTGGGACGTTAATTGTATAATCTTTGGGATTATTTTAAAACCTTTATTATCTGACAGTGATGATAAAAATAGAAAACGAGAAGAATCAAAATCTTTTAAAACAAACCTCAAAGAATGGTTAATTATTTCAATTTTCTATACAAAACCACTAATGGATAAACCATATTTTTCAACGGGACCTCGAGATTTATGGTCCAATCAGTGGCATCAGATCTATCATCAAATTTTTATTGAACTTGGTTACCTTCCAGTACGAAACTATTTTAAACACAATAAAACTCTTGGACGAATACTTGGAACATGTTCTGTATTTTTGTTAAGTGGATTATTTCATGATTATATAGCAATGGTTGCTTTTAAATATTTTTCGCTGGATTATACGACATTTTTCTTATTTCATGGAATACTTTTAATTTTATGGGAAGCTGTTGAAAACAATATATTAGGAAAAGGAAAAGATTTTAAAGAAAATTTTGGAATCAAGGTCTTTAAAATGGCATTGTTTTTACCGATTGCAATCTTTACTTTGCCATTGTTTGCGGAACCTTATTTTAAAGGACTATATTTTTATTCACATCTAAATATATATACTAACCTAACAGAATGGATTAATAAAAATTTTTATGCGATTCAATAAATAAATAAGAAAATTCATATATTTATATTGTTTTAATTATTATTATTATTATTTCGTTTTTTTAAAATTTCTGTTAAAGTTTTCCCTTTCATTAAAATTAATAAAAATGGTTAATATTCCACATACTAGGAACGCAGTCATGGTGACAAACATGTTCGATCGGTTAAAATGATACTTTGCTAAGGCCGTTCTGATTTAATTCTTCGGTTAACATCACCTTTAGAACTCTTGGGAGGGGGGTAAAATG